TCTGGCAGTTCCCCGTCTGCATTGGAGTGTGTGCAGGGGAAAGGAAATGCTGCTAGGAGTAATGTGGAGAGCAAACACAGGTTTTTCGTGTTTATAGTGCAGAATTGAAGTGCAAGTAGAGAAACACCCCACCGGCTCCTAGAAGACCAAACAGAGCTATTGGAAAATCAACAAGGAGCCTTGCGACTCACTTTAACATCTAGCCAAGTGCACGCACATACAGACAAACTCACAAATCTGAGTGCTCAGTCAGAAATGGAGTGGCTATGCAGTCTCGTTGCTATGGCTCAGAGGTGAAAAACGGACAAACAAAGTAGAGGCTCATCAGCGCTGCTGTCCCCGTTTCACCGCCCGCCCTCCAGCGTCCCGTCTGCCCCAGACCACCTCCGGCCCGCTTATCACAGAGACACCATTCACCTACACAATGAGGCTGCTATTTCCTAATGCAAATCACCAGCCCCCACAAGTCTGGCCTGTCTAACTCCGTCATGAGCTTCATTTTAACAATTCTTAAAAATGTATCATGTAAATTTACTTTTAGTTCAACTGTGCTTATTACAGACTTTATTATTACTTATTGTGAACTCTACCTGTCAAAACTGTGGACATACCTGATTGAATGGAATTTTTTAACAATCTTCAAGACAGAAATTTGTTACAATATGAAGTTTATTTATTTTCAGAACAATTTGGAATGTAAATTTGCATTAAAGGGCCCATATCCTGAAAAAACACATTTTCCTCACTTTTCTTTAAAACAAATGTTGTAATATTATATATTACATCATCACATTAAAGTTACATTTCAGAACGTACCAGTCACTCTGTAACATTCATAAATGAAAACTAAGCTTCAGCAACAGTCAATTTTGAATTCACAGTTGTTGTGATGTCATGGATATCATATGGATATACATTCATGGATGTCATATATCTGCCAATTCATCCTCCAGTAGTTTACAGTGAAGGAGGACCCTCAGTTACTTATCCAACATTAGAACTTGATGATCTGTCTTGCCTATTTTTGAATATTAAAACATATTCAAATATATTCCTCTATGTGCGGCACAATTTTGGTGCTTTTTAATTTTCTAGCCTCATAACACCAGTGCTATCACCTAAAAAATATAACCTCTGATCTCTACAATTTTTGAAGATTAAGACTCTTTAGGAATAAAAAATTTCACCAAAATTCAATTTAATTTGATTATTGATTTGATTATTTTAGTGCAATTCAGAATTTTCTTTTAAAACACACTAATGTACACAGTATATGATTATAATGGATTACATCATTATAATTGATTATACTGTGATAATTCTAATTGATTATATTACTATAATTGTGAGAAAATTCTAAAATCAGTCCATCTTTCGTACATAATTGTCACCTTCAGATCAATGCAGTTTTAGATGCCTACTTTACTGAAGGTGCCTAAAGTAGACAACTGCCTAACTGAAGCTATTATATAAGGGATAGACCTGACATTCGATGCGTGTGCCCACCACTTGTACTCCATCGAGCTGTGTGGTGAGAGCGAGTAAGCGTATTGGGCTCAATGCAGCTTCTGTAGTTTCAATGATCATCCATACTGCAGATAGGGAGAGTGTTTCAAATAGCCTCCATAGCTCAGTGTGAATGGGCAGACGGTCACAGACAGCCGATACCTCCCCCACTTCCAATTACTCCCACACCGACATCTCCACACTCAAAGCATCCAGATATATTTGACTACCGACGTGGCGCTACTGCCGTTGTGGGGGTGGGGGAGGGGTGGTTAGGTGGGTTGCAGAAGCAGCAGGAGGTCTGCGCTTCAGCCTCGCTCAAGTTGACCTTTCTTGTTATTATAGCGGCGGAGAGGCACTCGGGCCTTATGCCATAGGGAGAATAAAATACCTGTCAGAGAGGATCAGTTAGCACTGATGAAAGCATCTCCACTTTCCCTCCAGTCCTCCGCTCATGTCTCTCCAATCCTCCGATTGGCGGGACAAGATATTGTCTTTCTAAAGTGAGTCTACATCGCACATAAGATGAGAGAGAGGGAGACAGAGAAAGAGATGGGGGGGGGACAGAGGGTGGAGGGAGGACTTAACGACTCTTCAGACATCCTGTCGCTCTGTTTGTTCCTTTACCCACCATCAGGGCCTCCGTTTCAAAAAGGCGCCATTTTTATCTCCTGGCAACAGATGAAATAATGAAATATATGCTGTGTCTAAATTGGGCCAGGGCAGAAGACCTGATGTACTGTAGAGAGCACATTGTAGGTGGTGGCACAGTAGAAGGAAAGAAAAGAAGCAGGGGAGGAAGAGAGAGCGCGAGAGAGAGGAAGAGAGAGGGAGAGAAGGGAAGAGTCAAGAGAAAGAAAAACAAGAAAGAAAGAATGAAAGAAAACTTGAAAAAAGAAAGAAAAAGAAAGAAAGAAAGAAAGAAAGAAAGAAAGAAGAAAGGGAAAAAAAGAAAGAAAAATTGAGAAAGAAACCATGAAAGACTGAACAATGGAATGAAAAAATAGAAACAGAAACAAAGAAAGAAAGGAAAAGAAACCCAGGATAGTGATAAAGAAAAGTGCTCAAGGTACAGACGAAGAAAAAGAGCAAGTACTGGATCTTAATGTCTATGTTTGGTGGACAAGCCAGTGAAAACTGTGGTCAAAAAGCTGCTCTTTCCTCCTTAACACTTGACCAGAGATAATGGTGACCACGCTCAGAATACATAATCACCGAGGATCCCTGTAAAATCTGCCCTCAGACATGTTCACTGGCCAAAAGACTAACAGCTCTAATCATTCGAGTAAACATGGTTTAAGAGCCTTCTGTTCCGCTGCTGATGTTCAGTTCAATCTGAGTGAATCCGGTAACTCTAATGCACTCACACCTCCACAATAAAAAGGCTTTAAGTGCATCACTAAAGTTAGAAAACTGCCAAAGAGAAATTAAACTGTCCTCGAGTCACAGCGCTACTTCACTGAAGACGCGACAAAGAACTGTTATGAGTTTTTTTCAAAAGCTTTTAAAATCTGAAGAGCAACATACAAAAAGGAGTAAACAAGGCTTAACTATAGTACAGTTCACTAGTGGTACACGGATGAGAGCCCACTGCAATGCTTCATTTGCTTCCAGATTGAAATTAATGTGTCAGATCAAAATATTATTCAAGTTTACATTCTGGCACACTTTGTGTTCATGCACTACTGCATGATGACTTTATCCTCACCATAAAAAAGTGAAATACTTAAATAACTCTGCACAAGAATATCCAACCCAAGTCAGACAGAGTCCAACTTCTTTCATTATTTATATGTTAGCGCCTACATTTGGGGTATGAGTATGTGGGCAGTGGCATCGCTTTATTTATGTGTATACAGCCACCTGCTATTTGTCTTGGGCAACACTTGCTTTGCACACTCGCGTTTCAATAATTGATATCAGTTAGTCAGTTAGTTAGTAACTCAGTAAAAGACTCTTGTAAGTTGGACTGTTTGGTGGTCAAGCAAAAAAGCCTACCATTTTCTAAAGGCTGTTCACTAAGTTCCCAACCATGGTTCAGGACATACAGTCCTCTGTGAGGGGTAAGACATCTCTTTTAACAGCCCACCTCCTGCTATGCTGTTGTCAACAGGTCATATCTAACAGTGGGGAATCATTAAGGTGAAAGCTTCTGCGTTGGATAAATCACCAGGAAGGCCGTGATGTAATGTGGCGTCTAAAGGAATGTACATCTGCATAGCTAATGTATTTCTTTGTCCATACAAAAGTGAGCTGTGGATTGCTGTTGTGTGAGCAAATATAAAGATGGTTTTAGGATGATTTATTAGTTGCTCTAACTAGGCTGCTGGCCTCTGATAAAACTTCAACTCACTGCAACTGACCAAAGTACAGTTAATATGCAATACAGACAACATCAAGAAATTTTTAAACTTAAAAAAACATGACCGGATAGAATATAGTACATCTTTTAAATGGTTGTTTGGTCCAAGATGAAACATACACAGTACTTGAGGCTAGATATGAAAGTTTTACCCTTATAATTCTGTTACTGTCATTTTCCTCCACTTTTTATATGTAATTGCATAATTAATTTTGTAGTTCAGTTCAGTTCAAGTTCCATAATGCAGTCGTTCTCAAACTGATGCAAGGCTGCAGAAAAATCTCAAAGATTGTATCTCTACCTAGTACGTTTTAATTCTGTTAGTTTATTAAATCTGCTGTGGCCATATCAAAAACATAGTACTTGTTTAAAAAAGTATAGTTATTAAGCACTATTAAAATGAAATACAGGCCAACCAATCACAATTTACGGCTATACCTCATCCACTTAACAAGTGATTTGTAATATCATGAAACAGGGCCATGTCTTTATGAGGCAGAATCTGGTCCTTGTTTGTTAAGTGAAAGTAATGACCAAGGTGGGAGTGCAGGAGTGGCAGTGGCATTTCTTTTCAACTAAGATTAATTGTTTTTATATCATTCAGTGTTCTAGCCTTAATATACTGCTTTTCTTAGCCAAAAAATCAGGCCAAGACCTTCATTTACAGGAAATTATTGCAATTTTAATCGCAATCACAATATTACATATTTTCCTCAAATTGTTTAGCCTAGTTTAGCCTAGTAATTGCTGCTGTTATGAACTTCATTTACATTTGGTTTACATTGCATATCCAATAGGTTCGAGTGTGCATTTTTTCCTTCAAATAATGACAACAACTTGCCAAAAATAAAAGAATATTTTTTTTACAAGTACCTTTAAACAGTAACTTTTCCTCCAATTTAAATTCTTAATAAAATATCTCCTCTTTCTGTTACAAAAAGAAACATGGTACTGCTTGAAACTTCTGAATCCACACTATAACCACAACAATATTTCTCCACTTTTTTCAGCGAGCTACAAATAAATGACTCTATGGTCTTGCTTTGTTTTTGGGTCTTTTTTGCCAATACGTGTGATTTCTCATAGTTAAAGAGTCTGCTTAAATTCAGAAGACGGAATAGAGGAGGCTCACCGGGTCTGCCAGCTCCAGGACAGTGGCTCTGTAGGTCAGTGGCTTGCAGTCACGAGTATTGTCCACCAGGTTGCAAGGCAGAAACATGGGGCCCAGGTCATCTCCGTCCAGGACATCCACTGTCAGTGTGGTGGTGGCGGTCAGTCGGTCTTTAGGGTAAGGAGCTCGGTCCTGGAAATTTCAGAATTTGTTTTAAAAGAAATAGTAAATACACAAACCTGACTGGAGAAAGTATTTACAGAATAGTGGAATAATTTTTTACATTTTAAATATATATATATATATATATATATATATATATATATATATATATATATATATATATATATATATACACACACATCTGAATATCTAAAAGAGTCCAAAAATGTGCATATCCTATGAAAAATGCTCCAAATTACCAAAGAACTATCAGCGCATTCAGAGCAATGAATCAAAATGTATTAATACATTTCTACACCTCTAGTCAGTACAAAATCTGAAGTGATTTCCTGGTGAAAGCTAGATCCTTTGCGGATACAGTGTGTGAAAATGCTTTTGTCTTACAAGGAGCTCTTATCTTTCATACAGTACTGCTGCTGCATACTTGTGATTATTGAGCCATGTATTATGTAAAAGGCTGTGTTTCAGCCAGACTAATAGCTTGGAAAATGGCTGCTGAAAGTGAACACAAAAGTGCCACTGCAATATGATCTGCCCTGCAATATGATTCAATACAACCACAGAAACAACAGTCCAGGCTGAATAGAGGGTTCCCAGTGGTAGCAGTATTCATTACCACACTGGCACTGTGCATCATGATCTGTTGACCACAGCGTTTCCTTCTGTCTGTCTACTTTCTTTAGACTTACATTTGCCTGGATAATGACCAGGTAGCGTGTGATCTCCTCGTAGTTGAGTCTCTCTCTCAGGACTACAGAACCAGAGAGGGTGAGAGGGATGTCAAACGTCCTGTTTGCAGTCTGGAGAAACAGGGACAGCCGGGTGAGACTAGCATGCACACAACCGCACATACATGTACTAAGCCTGGAATCAGGTGCTGATAGGATGCATTAATTTTGCGTTCATTGTTTAACTGCTTTAAGATATAAATTAGTGTCTCAAAAGCCTGATTGGAAGATACTTTAAAAGACAATTTATTATCATTTTTTTTAATTTTCATAACTGAATGGTTAAGAAGTAAACAAACTCATTCAGAATGTTTCGATGTGAAATGCTCTGTTCTAGAGAAACCAGACATCTGAAGTGTTCACTGCCCCTAAAAGCTCCCTCACAGAAAGTTATCACATGAAATGGTAATGAATATGTGGCCTGATGCCTGAGACATTCTGCTCTGATATTTCTGAAATAAGGTTTTGGCCTAAATCATACATATATTTTTTTAAATTATTACTATTTATTATTTTACCATCATCAACATTACATATAAAACTCATGTAGGTTCACTGGTGGTTTTGGATAGTAAATAAAATGGACACAATGTACCACAGTAATTGCAACCCAGATTTCTATCACCACTACTGTACAGAAATTCAAGTCTATTAGTTTCTCTACAATGCACCATTTAATGTTAAACCACTTTGTAATATTAACAAAAATATTATATTTTAGATTCTTTAGGGTAGCCCCCCCTTTGCCTTGATGCAATCAACACTTGATGCACCTTTACACACTCCTGGCATTCTCTACAGCAGCTTAATGAGAAGCCAGCTGAGACGCTTTTCCAACAAAACTAAAGAAGATGCATATCATGCTTGTTCGGAGCTGAATAATTACTTAGTGAGCACTGGAATCTTCTAATAAGTTAAAGAATGTCTTGGAAATAACTTCACACTTCTCACTTCACTATTTAAATTTGGTTTGGAAACAAGCATTTTAGAATACACCTTTATAAATAAAAATGTCTTTAAAATTCTGTAAAATATAAAAGGTGTGTCTTTTTGATTGTTAGTGTAAGTACATCTTGCTCTCAGTCTCATGAGATATTCATCAGCTCTCTGGTTGAATGAGGATTCTGATGGAACTAAACTGCAGGCTTAGCTTGACTGTTAGAACTCCTAACCCTTCTTAGCAGTGCGCAGCATCACATGAACACTAAAAAACCTGCCTGTCCAGACCGGCTGGACTGTGGTGGAGACAAAATGTTAATTCAAACAAACTGGCTGTGGTGTTTCAGCGTACCGGGTCATTAGGATTGTACTGAATGGTGTACTCAATTTGTCCATTCGGCCCATCGTCAATGTCAATGGCTCCATTATTCCCAGTGAAGCCTGAGAAGATGGTGGTGCCGACAGGAGTCAGCTGAAAGAGAAAAAAGAAGGAATATATATATATATATATATATATATATATATATATATATATATATATATATATGTATGTATGAATGTATTCTTATTATGGCAAGGTTTCAAATGTAAATAAGCAAATCAGTTATCTTTATTAATTTGGTACTTTTCTAAACTGGGAATACAAAGTGCTTCACAATAAAATGTTAAAATTAAATTAGGAAAGCATGGATAAAAAGCATACATCAGAACCATGAAAACACCTAAAAACAATTTATACATGATTTAAACACACATTAAAGACTCCGTACGTGGCCACAACCAGTAAAAGAAAATAATCAATGGGTCTCTTAAAAACCCAACACAGTTGCTCTTTAGCTTCTGTCAAAAATAAAGATCTCTGCAAACTATTTTACACATTTTAGTCACCTGTCAAATGTTGACAAAATGTGTGTTGTATTTTCCCTTTCTCTGCCTACTTTTTTCATTTCCCTGTGTAGGCAGGAACCCTAACATACTGCATATTCATGACCACCTCTTGATTGACAGCCTCTGCACCAGATTTAATAACCCATTTCTTAACTTTAAGCATGGCACAAACTCTTCTTAGCATCCAAAGTAAAAGGCCCAAAATCATAGTAAATAAACCCTACTTAATGAATTATCTATTTGATCTTCATGTCTTGTCTGTGTCAATCAGTCTATGTCAATTATGACCTATCCAAATTCATCCAGTAGTTAAGATTCCTCCAAACACATGATACTACCAGTGCTAGGAGTGTGAAAGCTAGCGAAAACCTGCTTGCAAAACCTGACCCACACCTGTTTTTTTCCTCCTAACTCAGTAATGTTTCTTTCTATTGTAACAAAACAAATCTTACACAGTGCAGCTTAGTTAGGTTGCAATACTAAATTTAAGGGGCTTGCTAAGAAAATGCAACATACAAATAGAAATACAAATAAAGAATATTGAACATGCATGTCTTACAAGCTACAACTGTTTTAAGCATTTTTTTAAACTACAGTAGTTTTAAACAGCCCAGGTTTCCCAAAAGCATCTTAATACAAAGATGATTCTTAAATGGTAGAGCGAGCACCACACTGAACACTCTCTTCACCAGTTAAGATGATCTTAACATTAAGATGATTTTGGGAAACTGCGCCACAAGTAGTATTAAATTCACTGTTGCAAAGTGAATGTACATCACCTTTAGCTTGACACTAACATAACATTGCAAATCCCAGTCGGAGGTACCATCAGATCTGCTAATGTTAACTGGACTCTCATAGTGCCTGTCAGTTTAACACTTACTTAAGCTATTTAAGTCTCATTATTTGAATTTGAATGTAGAGAGTGACCAAACTGCTGTACCCCAAAAATGAACATTAACTCATTTATTTTGTCTGAATTGTCACTGAAACTCTTAATTGCTATTGTGAAACAACAAAAAAAGAAAAGAAATATCTTATGTTTATGAATGCGCTCACAACCAACAGTGAATTGGTTAACATTGCAGCTTTGTTAGGTTTTAGACCACTGCTTGCATTTCATCATCTCTCGCTAGTTCCCAGATGCTAGCCAGAAGGCAAGTTCCCTGTGGCAAAAGCGCCTTGACCGCTGTTCTGAACTCCAATCCCCCCTCTGACACCAGGAGCTGATGGATGAGGCCAGCAAAAGAAAGAAAAGAAAGCGCCCACTCGTTGTCGGGCTGTCATAGGAGCAGCCCCTGCTGCTGAGAGCCTCTCAGGAAAAGAGGAAGTAAAATAGGAGGTAATAGCTATGGGCCTGCCAAGGAAGTAGAAAAGCAGCATCGGGAAGCTCAGGTATTAGTTCCTGTGCTGCTGCTCTACTCTGAAAGCCTTAAAAAAAAAACTTCCTCAAAACCCCACAAAAGAAGCATTTAAAAAAAGAAAAGTACAAAAGAATCTGTCAGACACCTGGAGAGAACCTTGCGGATAAAATCTCAGCCATCATGAATGGAGGGAAGTGACCTGGACGCAGTCAAATGCAATTTCTGCCAATTTCTATGATAGGAAACAGCACTTTTGTTGTCTCAAATGATGATACAAAAGTGCAGAAGGGGGAAAAAACATAATATGCATTATTGATTTCATTGATTTAATTTCAAAGAAAATATACAGTAAACAGACAAGTCTGATGGGAACCAAGATTGCCTCTCTGTTGCAGTGCATGGAAGTCATCTATCAGTATCAAAAAGGGGCACAAACACAGGGGCATGCATTATGTAGGGGACCCGCACTGGGCTAGTCTCTATTAAATGATGAATCGTTTTGTCTCCTCTCATTGTCATGTCATGGAAAGCGCAAAATACAGGGCCTATCAGTTACAGTGCTTATTCACATCAGGTGAACATACCTTTGTACCCATGCTAAGCTAAACCAAACATTCTAGCACAGCATTAATGAACTGCATGAATCTGAAGAATGCAGCAAGTTATGAGAAAGAGCTAAGATAAATATGATATGTTTCTGTCTGAAGTCAAATTCAAATCTCATATTTTAGCCTTCTTTCACACCATAATTATTTTTCCCTCCAACTTTATTAGTCCGTTCTACTTTTATTATCTTAAACAGTTTTTACCTTACCTTCACTGAAAATGTTTAGAATGTTGTTTAAAGACACTGATTAATTAATAAATTCATAATAGGCAATTGTCAATAGCCAAGTAATGCCAGAAAAATGCAATGTTTCATATCATATAGATAACTGGAATATACTTTGTTTTCTGAAGATAGCTGTCATTGTCACTGTCATTATCACTAAACGGTAACTTAATTGATGCAAGGTCTAGGAGTCATTTGAAGATTTGGAAGTCATTTGAGTTTTTTTTGGTCTTTTGTCAGGCTATTATTGAGTGCAGACAGAATTTTGGCAAGCTACCACTGAATTTGGACAGAGTTTTATTGGGTTACAGTCGGGTTCAGACAGAATTTTACATGGCAATTGCTGGGTTCACACAGAATACAGTCAGGCTGGGGCAGAATTTTGTCAGGTTGTGGTCAGGGTTCAGACAGAATTTTGTCAAGTTACATTTAAGTTGAAACGAGTTGGTTCAGACAGTTTCGTTGGGTGACAGTGAGGTTCAGACAGTTTCCTTGGGTTACAGTCAGGTTCAGACAGATTTTTTTAAATTACAGTCGGGTTCAGACAGATTTTGTTGGGTTACAGTCAAGTCCTGACATTTTTTTTCAGGTTACAGTCGTGTTCAATCGTCAAATCCACACAATATACAGTAAGGTTGCGACAGAATGGTAATGGTAAATTTCAGACAGATGTTTGTCAGGAGGTTTTCCTCATCCTTAAACCCAGATCTCTCTAGAGCAGGGGTGCCAAACTTCAGTCCTGCAGGGCCTGTGTCCAGCACAGTCTGGTGACTTTCCTGGTCAAACAGAGCTAATTCAACTCATCTGTTATTTGCCAGGTTTAATGTGATTAATGGAGAATTATTAAACTGTGCTTGACACTGGACCTCCAGGACCAGAGTTGTGCACCCCTGCTCTAGAGACTACTGCACCACCGCTGCAAGAGGCGAAAAAGCCGAGTGTTTACAACAGAGGTAGCAATGGTTAAATGTTTTATTTTGGCCAGAGTGTCTCTTTAACACAAAACAGATAATATAATATCATATATATATATATATTATATATTATCTTTAGAGTTGGCTTTAGAGAGAATTCTGTTGGGTTATGACGGTCCAGATTTTTTTCAGATTACCGTCAAATTTTAACAGATTTTTGTCAGGTTACAGTGAAGGTCAGACAGATGTTTGTTGGGTTATGGTCAAGTTCAGACAGATGTCTGTTGGGTTATGGCCAACTTGTGAGAAAACTCTGTCAGGCTACAGCCAAGTTCAGATAGATTTTTGTCAGGTTACAGTTGGTTTTAGACAGAATTTTGTTGAGTTATGGTCAATTCAGACAGAATTCTGTCACGTATGTTGGGCAAAACACAGCCAAAATTTTCTCAGATTACATTTGGCTTTATATCAAAATCTGAATTCTGACTAAAGTACTACTACTATAATTTGTGAAAATCTGTAAAGATGTGAAAAGCACATCTTATTGTTCTCCGAAACCTCCATATCCACACTGACAAATATGCCACCTACATCGGTGCATCCATCAAATGCTTCCCCAACCATTATAATCCATTTCTGCCTCTCTTTTGCCAGGCTCAATAGCCACTTTCCCCTGCGGAGTTAAACCCTATCAGCGCAAAGCCGTTGTTTGACTGATAGACTGGGGTCCACCGAACTCCTTATCTGCCTGTCAGTCCGACGCTTCCGACCCCAGGCTGAAATCAATAGCGTGGAATAGCGGCCAGTGGTTTTTGCGCGGTGCAACAGCTTGTGGGGAAGGCTGTCTGCCACTCTCTGAGGCTGCCTTCTAATGAGCGAAATCTGCGCTGACAGCTCCCCAGGGAGCAACTTTCAATTAGGCAAAAGCCTCCAAGTGCACATGTTACCATCCCCACCCACCCAGCAGGGAGCAGGGCTGGCAGCCTGATTCCAACAACCTACCACAATGCAACTTATTTAACTTTAACGTTGTGGCAACGAGCTGGGGAAGGGCCGACGCATACTGACTGGGAAATCATGACACAACGAGAGCTCAGAGAGACACATGCAAACACACCAGCACCAGTGAACCAAAGTGTTTTATTTATACATTAAAGAAGGTGCAACCATAACAAATCAAACAGGCTTCTTACTTTAAAGAGTCCTCTGGGTCCTTTGTCTATCCCTTTCTCTCTCTGAGCTAAGAGAGAGGCTTAAAGGCCAGCGTCCTTCTCTCTCCCTCATGCCAGTGAGAGCCAATCTTAGGCTGCTGGGGCTCCTCCCCAAACAAGCATCAGTTGTCCATGATTGGGGGGGAGCACCCATTAAGTGCTGGTGAGAAATACAGCGACTCCGCCTCTGCACAGCTACAAACATCTACAGAAGCAGTCATTGAACAGCATTTGAACAAGGATTTAGGCATACTCAGGCTGGGAACACCTCGTCTTCTTTTGAAATTTTAATTTTCTTACCATGACTTTCCTACTTTAAGTAAGAAAATATTCTTGCAAAGGTTCTGTTAAAAGAAAATTCCTGTCTGTTATGTAGTTATGTGGTGCAGCACTGTACTCCTGAGTCTTGCTGGCTTGACAGGCTTTGTGTTTTTGTGTAATTACTGTTCTCTCACAACAATACCTAGTATGCATTGTGCAAATACTTCACAATCATTGGGAACACCTATGGCGCTCAACAAATCCTGACTCCTAGCCACTGATCAAGAGGCTAATAAATACATCTGCAGTGCTAGCCAGCTTTAGTCATATAGTGCTAACCTCAACTGATTGTCAAAAACAGTTTTATTTTTGCTAGCTAGCAAAAAAAAATAAATCAAACAGCCCAACCCCAGCTATCCAGCCCAAATCACTTATAGTCTTTCAAAACTTACTTCCACCTTCAAGACACATCATCAGGAGGTTTTCCTCATCCTTAAACCCAGATCTCTCTAGAGCAGGGGTGCTAAACTTCAGTCCTGGAGGGCCTGTGTCCAGCACAGTCTGGTGACTTTCCTGCTCAAACAGAGCTAATTCAACTCATCTGTTATTTGCCAGGTTTAATGTGATTAACGGAGAATTATTAAACTGTGCTTGACACTGGACCTCCAGGACCAGAGTTGTGCACCCCTGCTCTAGAGACTACTGCACCACCGCTGCAAGAGGCGAATAAGCCGAGTGTTTACAACAGAGGTAGCAATGGTTAAATGTTTTATTTTGGCCAGAGTGTCTCTTTAACACAAAACAGATAATATATGTGTATTTTGCTCATTTCACTAAAGCACAGTAATTTCAATAACTTATATCTATAAAAATGAATATGTATATAAATGCCGTTCTTGCAGGATCAGCATCCTAACAAGCCATGTATCTTGGCTGTTTTTCAGCTGCTGGCATCCATTAAAAACTATTGGATTTTTTAAAAAGTGTACTGAAGAAGGAGAAAGCGAAAGGGTGCCCATATGAATAATATGTTTTGTGACATATGTAGACTGATAATGATAATGATTTGAAAAATGATGACTGATGATGTAGACTACTGGGTAATTTAGTTGACAAGTAACATAGTTGACAATTTTCCTATTTTGACCCATAACTTCAGTGGTAGGCCTTGACTGTGACCACAAATCATTTTCTAGAACAGGTTAATGTCTAATTAGAATATATAAGTGAATTAAAATCATAAAAAATTGTAACCAATAAAAAATGTATGTAACATAGTTGACAATTAATATAATAGTAATAATAATAATAATAATAATAATAATAATAATAATTTTTATTTCTATAGCACTTTTCATACCGGTGGCAGCTCAAAGTGCTTTACAGACAGGTGATAAAACATAGTTATACAAGAAATCATATGTTTAGATTTATTTAGAATCAGAAGAAAATTAAAAAGATAAAATTTGAAGATAAATACCATGAGACGCAGAGCTTTAATTAAATGCTAAGTTAAAGAGATATGTTTTTAGATGCTTCTTAAAAGTGAGCACTGAGCTTGACTGTATAATAAAAGGTGGAACTGAGTTCCACAGTTTAGAAGCATAATAACTGAAAGAGGCCTCTCCACGTTTTCTGTATTTTACAGAGGGTATTTGTGGAAGGTCACTATCTGCAGATCGTAGATTACGTGCCAGAATACAAACAGACAGACTCTCCGTGATGTAAGTGGTGCTTTAAGGTCATTTTGAGCTTTAAAAACTAGTAGCAGAACTTTAAAATCTACCCCTGAGCGATACAGGTTGCCTGTGCAGCTCTTTTAAAACAGGAGTGATATGATCTCTCTTTGTTTTTGTTAGGATGTGCGCTGCCTTTTTTTGTACGAGTTGAAGGGAATGTATAGTTTCCTTAGGAAGTCCGGTAAGAAGAGCATTACAGTAGTCAAGTCTGCAACAAATGCATGAACAAGTTTCTCTGCTTCACTCTGAGAGAGTAAAGGCCGAACTTCAGCAATTTTTCTCAAATGATAAAAAGCTATTTTGTGACTGTTTACATGCAGAATAAAACAAAGCTCTAAGATCACACCCAGGTTTCGTACTTCAGGTTTGGTATATGAAGCTAAAGAACCAAGTTTCTCATAAATCATTTTTCTCTGGGTTTCTGTACCAATGATCAGTGTTTCAGTTTTTTCATGATTTAATTGTAGAAAATTTTGCAACATCCACTGAGAAATATCTGACATACAGCTGGTTAGTCTGTCTACAGAGTCTTGATCTTCAGAAGGAATAGAAATGTATAGCTGGGTGTCATCAGCATAGCTATGAAAATGTATACTATGCTTCCTAATGACATCACCTAGAGGTAGCATGTACAAAGAAAAAAGCAAAGGCCCTAAGACTGAACCTTAAAGGACTCCACAAGAAATGGCAAATCTTTTTGATTTCCAAGTGAACACATGAACTGCCTATTACTTAAATAGGATTTAAACCATTCTAAACCAAACTGTGCCCAAGAGGCCGCCCCAGCAATCAAAACACTGGATTAAAATCTTGTGGTCAACAGTATCAAAAGCTGCACTAAAACACTAATAAATAACTGAACATTTTCTGACTCACCTCATGAGTTAGGTGATGTTGTTTGTCAGCTACCAAGTGCTGGATGACATGCTGAAGAAATTAAAGCTGTGAAAGCAGCTCTGGCTCAGTTTAGTAGGTTTAAATGCATATTTGTTTAACCTCCAACTGATGGCATAATTTGTTTATCTTCAAAGCTTTATTTAAAAAAAGACCTCAGTTTTTGGACGCAATTTATTCATAAATTATTCAAACAATTAATTTGATGATGTGTATAAATCCTGCACACCAAATGCAATTTTTCCAATGGTGAAAATCGTTTCAGATAAAATTTGGTTAAAAAAATAAAAAACAGCTGCAGCCCCTCTAGCAGTACCGGCCCAGAGGCTGAAAAACACTGCTCTATACTATTGTAACATGGCACAGCATACTCTGCTGACAGTGTAAGATCTCCTGTATAAAAACATAAAAGTCAAATTAATCGACAAATATCCACAGTACGTTGTCTGTCATACAGGGTTCTCACTAAATGAGAAGATTTAGCAGCCACATGCTTTGGCATCAAAGCCTTAAGTGATCTTAATTTGCCTCAAAGGCTGCAAATAAAATCTGCATATCCACAACTCAACAGACTGCATTTACAGTCCTTGACCACCAATTATCAGTGCACTGTGAGTTTCAATAACTGTTCAAGAGCCAAACTTGAACACAGACCCTAAAAGTCACAAGGAAGAGGTACTTCTGAGATGTGTGAAAGCAAGATATTTATTGGACCACTTTGAGGAACTCACCTCATTAATAGCCACGTAGTATCGTGGCTGCTGGAAGCGAGGGGTGTTGTCGTTGCGATCTCTCACAACAATCCGCACCTCATGGAGAATCACCGTACCAACTAGTTCATTGGTGCACTGGACCTGCACTACTATGGAATGTATGTAGGAAGGAGGCTGAAAGAAAAAAAATGTACATTAGCTGGCATTTAGCTTTTTGATCAGATATGAACATTTACACATTACATTGCCATTAATAAGCTCAACTTAGATCTAGTAATCAAATCTTTTCTCTCAAACTTTCAAAAGGAAATCAAGAGTGCTGTATTGAGAAACATCAATGGGGCAGCCAAAAATGAAACACAGTTTTCTCCTTACCCCAAATCTGGTCGATCAGCCAACATGTTTTCGTACTTAGTATTGCACTGAAGCTACAAGGCTAACAAGGAATGGAAGCTTACCATCGCTGTCAGAACAAAACCTTGCCTCTCCACTTTTTTATTTATTTATTATTATTTTTTTTACTTATTTTTAAAAACCCAGGTGCCATTAAAACTGTGTTAATAATGTTTATAATGAACAGAGCAAAAAAAGAATACTTTTTATTTTCTGCAGCTCTGCTTTGGAGCAAAACTTCATATAGACATCAGATGTAGCTCATCAGAAAGCATTTTTAAACTGGGTTAAAAGAATGGTTATCTGGCAATATGTAAGCAATTGGAGTTTTAGTTTTTGTTATGTTTTATTATGTTTTGAGAGTATCTAACAAATGATTTAATCAGGAAAGCCACCCTGTTGTTTATCATCCTGGTGTGTATAGCACTGTTTTGTGCTTATTGTTCTGTGATGTTCAGTTTGTTTGTGTGTTTTATGTGAAGAAGACCACAATGAAAACAAGCCCTAGGGCTTTATTGTGTTTTAATCCTCAATGATGGAAAGTGTGTGTAACGACTGCTGTGCAGTGTTATGTGTATTTTTCATCATCAAATAAATTTAGTCAATCAATTCTAATTCAGTCCCATCAGTTTTATCAATTCCCATTCCTGGGAAAAAATCTTGTTCTGTGTGTGATGTGTGCACATGAGTTATATCCATGAGCTAACGACCAGTCATAAACAAATATGTCAGCCCTGAGTAAACAAACTAGCTATGAGCTAATATGCCAGCGGCAATGCTAACGCACTAGCGATGAGCAAATACGCAAGGTCAGGGCCAACACACTAGCCACAGTCTAATATGTTAGCCCTGGGCTAATACCTTTACAAGGAGTGTTTTCAATTTTTCAATTTAAAGAGGATGGATGGTCAGCCATAACTGTGGGGTTTTTGAATTTTGTTTTGCACTATACATAATAACTGATGGTGCCTAAAATTAGTGACAAAATTCAGGCTGCAACCTGCATTTTTCCAAGTTTATAGATAATAGTTTGTCATTCAAGCAAGAAAAAGCATAAGTAATTTTGAGCCAAATGTGTAATGAGGCATGCAGTTTACACAATGCTAACGTTAGGCTAGAAGCTTACATTCGCTGTTACCCTAGCCTCACGGCTCCAGTGCAACATTAAACAAAGAATCTTTAGACATCAAAAATGCAGAAGGTCTATATTTGTGGTAAAGGTGGACATTATGCAAATGTGCTTTTTGGCCAAATCACCACGTTAACTGAACATCTTGGTCACTTACATCACGATCCAAAACTCTTCCAGTGCTGTTAAGGTAAAGGCGTTGTTTGACTGGGTCCAGGATGACCCAGTGGTTGTAGTTGTCTCTCAGGGATAAAGAGATGGTTCTATCCGGATCTTCTGCTCGCCCGTTGATCTGCATGTTCTCTACCAGTAGAGTCCCTGAGCCAAGACAAACAGCAATTTTATAATTTTCCATTACTATATAATTATCAGCACAGATTCAATACAATCCAGTGAACATTTCATTACCAAATAATTTAGCAAAGGACAAAGACCCTTTATTTGAATTAAATTCAGATCCTAATTTTGGAAAATTGCCTTTTTTGTTTCAAGAGAAAGGTTGAACTGAACATATATTAAGCAAATCACCAGACTTTATTGAAGTGACTTGAGCCAAATATTTCTGCATGAGAATGAAAATTGCTCCTGCAATGTTTGAATAATTCATTGCCTCAGTGGACGCACACCTTAAAAGAATACAACAAACTCCAGGCAAAAACGCCTTGTTCTGCTGCTGCCATTACACAACATAATGGCCTTTATTTGATGCTGACTACACCTGAAAGTGCTGGCTCCTCCGTTTCACATGCTTTTCTGTTTAAAAAAATGTCCCAAATAGTAACACTACCACGCTATTCATACACACATGCAAAATCATTGGAAAAACACCATCCACGTCAGCCAATAAACATTTTTTGTGAAGTGTTTGGCATTAGCCTTATGCTGGATCAATTTAGAACATTTGAATAGGTAACCTCTGTTAACTGCCTGCAACAGAGCCCATTCATTAATGACAATAGCTCTACTTAGCTCTTAAAACTAATGGTTATCATCCACAATAACAAAAGCATGGTGTAATTTGTTGGGGATGCACAGATATGGCAGCTGTGAGCAGATGTTGATAGCCAATATTTTTCATGTGCCAATGCAGATACATAAACTACAGATTGTAAAAATTGGGGCTACAACTACCTGGATTAGCAGTACAGAGAAACAGAACATTTAATTGTATAGTATTACAAATGCAGTAAAATAAAACACTGACATTATGGCCAGGAGCGTAGCCAAGGGATGGCCATAGCCTTCCAGGGCCACCCTAGCATGAACCATGGCCACTCTTCTGGCCATACCAGTTATGGAAAGTAAAATAAACAGCCACCATCAATTAAGCAGTCATCAGAGAAATGTGTAAATGGTTATGCTATGCAGTAAAAATCTGCCAAAAATCAGGTGAATAATGCAGTGCTGCTCAGTGAGTTTTAGGGCTGCATGATGTGGACGTAAAATGTAATGTTGGATAAAGCTGTCGAATATTACAATTACAATATTAGAAGTGATAAATGATTATTAAAATAGTGTGTCTCTGCTGCAAGCAGAGAGACAAGCACTGAGCATCAAAAGCTATTTGACTGCTAATGACGCCCCCTTGTGGAAAACCGTAGTCTGCGAAACATGAGTTCCATGAGGTTCTTCAGTCTAAAAACAGTCAGGATTCTCCAAACAGTATCATAAAAATATCAATTCGGTATCAGCATAGGCTGATACTCAAGGTCTCAATATTGACATCTTCATCGGCCCAGAAATATGTGTATCGTGACATCTCTAGCATACAGTCTTCTTTGGCAGAAATAAAAATAAACATCCTTTACATTTTCGCCATGTCTTGTCTTTAGCAAAATTGACAGACTTGAATCTGCTGATACAGAATGAAAAACTAAAGTAAATGTAGTTACATAATTTACACTTGGTAATCACACTGCATAGCACAGTAATAACAACTAACAATAATTCAAGAACTTCTATGGGTTAATGTCTCAAACATCACATTAGCTAGATTTCTAACCATTCATATTTCTAACACTAATCAGTTGGTTTTATGTTATGTAGAGAGCTCCTCCAGAAGCTTTAGAGAAGCTTCGACATTGAGTGGTTAAGTTTGATGTGAAAGGAAGTAAATGCATTGAATTTGTGTTTGTGCACAGCCCTTTCACCAACCTGTCACCTTTAGGCAGTGCCTTCACGCTTCTTAACACCTTACTGCTCTCTGTTGAGAAATTTCAGGGAACTGAAGCTGCACAACTCAACATTTCAATTCTGGAAAGTCTCATTCTCAAAAGCCTATTACATTCATTCCTGAAAAAAACTGTCACACTGTCAACTGCGTGACGTGAACTTATTGTCTTACATACTTACTTACAATTGTTTGCAGTTTACCTGTAAACTGTATTCAGTAATTAAGTTGGTTTGACAAAGCTACTGCTCTTTCTTTTACTACTCTATGTTTTTTTATTATTTTTTTGTACAATTTTTATGGGTTACAAATCTTGAGTACCACAAAACTCTGCAGGATCACAGAGCCTATACAAGAATAGTGCTCTTTGAATAGTGTGCTTTTGAGACCGACTGCATGTAGGTTTCGTAAAGTGTTCATTCAAACTTTTTTTTCCTATAAGAAATGAATGGTGGAATGTTTAGAGAATTAAAATCTGTCACAAATCATGTAACAAAGGACATCTCTCACACTACACCCAGACATTACACACAGACTCACATACATACTAGCATATCACTGCTGTCGGAAGAAAACCTTGTATCTCCAAAATGGTAACTTTATAAGAAAAGGAAACAAAACTATTTAATATCTCAAATCTCATTGTGACTTGGGTACACATTTTGCTGCAAGTGCTCAGCTGCTTAGCAATGTAGCTAACAGTCAGCAGTGGTCAGTGATCTCCAACTTTGTAAAAACCACTTCACTGCAACTGCGTTTATGGTGAACATATTTGAGACCTATTTATTGATAACTATATTCATTCCGTTATTATTGAGGGCTGCAAACTCTCCGTGAATGAGGCACATGGAATTTACCCTACTTTCACACTCTCATTCTATACCTCTCAATTCATACACAGGCATATTCTAAATAAATGAAGCAGTAACATTCTACATGAAGGCTATCCACATAGGGACTTCATAACACATACAGAAGCACTGAAAACTGTATTTACAAGCCTGTTCTTACATTTTCATGTACAGACTATGCCAGTAATCACAAGATGGCATAAAATATTGTATGGATATAAGGGGCCTTAAAATAAAGAGACTTATGTTTATTCCATTTATAAAGTGTCATAAAGCAGCATCCCGCAAGTGATGCAACTTCTGTGCCCATTCATTCAAAAGAGCATCTGTGAGATCATACACTGGTGTTGGATGAGAAGCCGTGGCTTGCAAGTGACATTCAAATTCACCCCACAGATGTTCAGTGGGGTTGAGGTCAGGGCTCTGTGCAGGTTCCTCCGCACCAAATTCAGCAAACCATGTCTCTATGGACCTCACTTTGTGCACAAGTAATGAAGGAAAAAGGTCAAGGCCTTTCCCAATCTGCTGTCACAGATTTGGATGCATATAAGTGTCTAAAATGTCTTTGTATGCTGCAGCATTAACATTACACTTCACTGGACCAGAGGAGCCCAAACTCTGAAAAACAGCCCCAGACCATTATCCCTCCTCCACCAAATGTTGATGTTGGCCATATGCATTTCAGCAGGTTGCATTCTCCTGGCCTCCAGCACTCCCAGACTGTCCATCAGACTGCCAGATAGTGAAGCGTGATTCATCACTCCACCTCTTTCCACTGCTTTACATCACTCCAGCCAACACCTGGCATTGCGCATAGTGATCTTAGGATGGGTTTACATGGTGAACTTTCATGCAACGCTATAAAGTCATCTGTAATGACAGCTGAAATTATCGAAGACAATAAAAATGCTGCAGGCTCCCGAGTGGCCCGACCGTCTAAGCGTTGGCCCTATCATCAGGAGATCGTGAGTTCGATCCCTGGTGATGCTACAGCCATCCGTAGCCGGGAGTCCAAGAGAGCACAATTGGCCTCGCTCTCTCTGGGTGGGTAGGATGCCCCTCCTTCTCCCCCCATCACTCAGCGCGACGCTAGTCAGCGCAGGCGTCTGTTAGCTGACGTAACAGATCTGGCGGTTGGCGCTTTCCTCCGAGCGCGTTCGGCTGTCCAGTGACGTTGCGTGAGCGGCAGTTCGAAAAGAAGCGGTGGTTGGCATCACAGGTCTCGGAGGAAGCCTGTGTTAGCCTTTGCCCTCCTAGCGTTGATAGCATGGTGTGATTGGGGGAGTCCTAACTAGCGGGTGGAATTGGAGACGTCTAAATTGGGGAGAAAAATCGGGTAAAAATTAAAAAAAAAAAAAAAAATGCTGCAAGTTACAACACTGTCATTTTCCAGCTGTTATGGCCTTTTCCAGCTGTCATTGCTTTTTTTAATCTATGTATCTGCAGTTCCTTACTATATATTGGTTCTTTTTAACCTACTGTGTGTATGATTTGAAAATGAGTGTTTGAGTAGCCGTTACAGTTGAAATGGTCATATGAAGCATTCATATTTTACGCACGTGCACACACGCACACACACTAGGGCTGCAGATAATAATGTTTATGTCCATTACTGATTAATCAGGAACCAGTGTATTTTTTAGTTTGTTAATAATTAACTTTAAATATTTAATACTATATTCAAAATCTTATTAAAATAAACATAAAAAATGCATTATTTCTCCTTTTGCACAACATTTTTTAAAACATGAAACATCTACTTTATATTCTAAATCATATTTACAAAAACACACACACACACACACAGACAACAACTCAAGGTCTTCTATTCCACAGAATCAACCTGTTTATCAGCGGTGTTAGCTCAACACAGCAAAACAGTGCTGTCCAGGCGCACTTGGCCAGCACTTTCAAAAAGATAAGAGTTTGAAAAATCTTTACCAAGGTGGACGTTTTCCCAAAGCTCATTTTTTCATGATGCGTAAAATGCTGTTTTAGTCTGAACAAGGAAAAACAGCTTTGCGAATATAACCTTAGTACTAGAATAGATTTGTTTCCAACTATTTTTTAGTACTGATATTGTTAAATTGATTGATGCTTTGTTGCAGTCCTGATGTATATGATATGCCTTAGCCAGTTTCTGGTTGTATTTAATTTAAAATGCTAATGTTAAATGCTGTGTGAAAAAGCTGAAATTCAAAATAATGTCATGGCCTTTATCTTTACTGCTGATGACGCTTCCCAGCAGACCACACACTGCTTTAATGAATACTACTGTACTGGTCCACAGCCTCACT